TCCGATCTCCTTCTCCCTGCCCCCCCCCCTCCCCGGCATGTGTGTACGTGGATCCTTCGAGTCGCGACACGCGGTCGTATACGTATCAAGCTTATCAACTGTCCTGACGTATACCTGTAATGTATACGTATAACGTATGTACATACAACGAATTTGGTTGCCTGCACTATGTGCGGATTTTTGGTTCGCTTGAAGAAATGCTACGCACGAAGATATCTAAACGCAATATAAGCCGAACTTAGTTTGATAAAAAATATTCAATATACATTTTGTTAGAAATAAAATAATATTAACAGTATATATTTTATCGAACAGAATGTGATTTTATTGTTTGTATTATTATATTATTATATAAGTATCTTGTGTTATGATTTTATAATTAACTAACTTCGTAGCTTCTGTGTATCAGAATAGTACACTAGCGACCGAATTCGTTGTTACCAAGGTAAAGCTTTATCTTCTAAAATAATTACTCGCAAATTACCGAGTTATCATGTTTTTCTTATTTTTGAAATAATTTCTACAACACCGCATACATTCGGTACAGCATCAATACGTTTGGTGCAAGTATATAATTCTATATACTTACATTTAACGATTGTCGTCCCTTATAAAATTGCGATTTGAAATGCGTATGAATTGTAAAGGATTTTATTGCAAATTTATCGCAGTATACGCTCTTTTAATTTTGTCTGCGTGCGTTTATCGAAATCGCAAATTATATAATTAGCGAGATTTTAATAATGAATACGAATTCTGAATATATCCACCTATCGAGAATTTTTATAGGTACTAAAAAGGATGGTAAAATTAGAGAGATAGTACAGAATCCTAAAAATTCGTTCGATTATCGTTAAAAATTCATACGTGCATCCTCCGAACAGGCGAGATCTCGCGAGAGAGATTCGTCCGGCGCGGTGCAACACGCCCTTGACCTACCTTAACGTTTCTCGTTGCGCGCGGGTGGCACGCTTTAAACAATTGCGCGTATAAGGGCATGTAATTTCACCCACGTATGACCGTGACGGATCTCCCACACTGTAGAAAAAAAAGTATATAAAATCGTACAGACGACAAGTGTAAAAAATCACATGATTTACAACGGAAATACTTCTTATAAAGTGATTTTTGCACTTATTTCTTCACGTAATTCTACATACTTTCTTTCGCAGTGTGATTTCGAACATTTATTTTTTTCTAATACCGTGACATAATTTTGCGCAAATTTTTGAAAGCGAGGAAACGGCATACGCGTGCATATTATGTGTCAGAGTTTTAATTGTCAAACTTGTGTTACAATGCTATTAGATTCCATTTATTATCTATGACTTATAGAAATGTCGATTGTACTTGATGCAAATTATAAATTTAAAAACTATTAAAAAATATATTAATCAAAGAATATATCACAAAAAAATGTTGGGAAATGGTCTCCGCGCGAACATTAAAAGATATTGAAAACCATTTCAGGAGTCGTGGGATAAACTTCGGGATTAAATCGATATATTCTACATACATTCCGTACGCACACACTTCGGAGTGCACACGTACGCGAAACTCCGGATATCGCGGACGTGAGTACGGCCGCATTCGCGTACATGTGATTCGAAAGAGAGAGAGAAAGAAAAACGAAACACGGAGTCAGATAAGGCCACGATTGCGTGGCGCTTAGATCACGTTCGAGTCAGGCCAGGCCTTCGTTTCCAAACGTATCCCGCGCGTTCCGGCCGTCGCCGGATATTGGTCAACTCGGGGCTACCTATATTTTTTCCTTTTTATCTCGCACACCATTCCGCATACGTGGGTGCCGTCACGGCGACGCGGATCAGCTGGACGCGGGTCGCGCGGAGCAGGCGCGATAAAGCGCGAAGTCGGAGGCGCGATCACGACGATCGATATTGGCCCCGTGAATTATACGCGGCCGCGCGCCGCGCGGCTTGTCGCAATGGGCGACGGCCGTCTTGCGAGAGAACCGCGAGATCCGGAAAGTCTGCGGCATGATTCGCGCGCGCGCGCGCGTTATCGCCGCCGCCGCCGCCGACGTCGTTGTCGTGTTTCGACAGCACCAGCATTATCGGCGATATGTTTGCAAACACGGTACGATTAACAAAAATGCACGGATAGTTCGAAGACGCGGCGTTTGAAGTACATACATGCGTATAGCGCAACGTTCAGTCGAGATATTTCCACTCTTATCCAGATACGCGCTTGGGGAAAATTTATCTCGCGACATTTTTACTTTCGTACCTTATGTTGTATCGCCGTTCGAGGCGGCCGAAGGGGGAAGTCTCCGCCGTTTTATTTATAATTTTGCAATTCCTCGAAGAAGAAAAATGAGAATGAAAGATATTGCGTTACGTGCGAACGCTTAATTGGATATATTCGCTTGTATTCTAGTTTCCTACTGCCAATTTTTCGAAGACGCGTAAAAATTACATGCGTTACTCTTTCATCAAACGCGTGCACGCGTGAGAATCGTGTACTATCACACGATTATAACTTTCGAAACGGAGAAATGTAAAAATAGATTAATTGTAGAACCTTATGAAATTATCAATCAATAAGCGCGCTACAATGTTTATAATCAGATTGATTTGACAATACTGACCTATGACAAAATTCAGGGAGATGAAGGAATTCCTTTTGTCGTCTCCAACGAGTGATGAAACTCCTCCAGGAATTTTATCGTATAAATAACGATTATCTACCTTGGCATGCCGTGCGTATCGCGTTTGGGACACGACCGAAATTATCGTCGGGCAACTATCCACAGAACTGGTTCTGTTTTTTTCGCCAGGAGGGATGACGACACCGCGCACGGGTACCCTTTACTGCGCGCGCGCGCGCCCAGTGCGGCATTTTTAATACGATTTTTAAATATTTCGCGATCTTTCGATATACTACTTACATTGCTGTCACTCGTGCGGATATTTCGTCATGCGACACGCCGGTTGCGCCGTCGACGGTTCATTGATTAAGCGGCCTGTACTATCGGACGAAATTTATTCGGAAATGGAGTTTGCTCTTGGTAAACAACCGTGCAATTAACGTTCTTCTTTTTTACGCGATCGAGCATATATATCTGCGAATTTATTTCTGCGCAATTCGTGTCTGCGAATCGGGCTTGATTGCAGCGCACCGCGCGGTGTCCCGAAAGTGTCTTAAATTTTACGAGATATTTGCTTCTTCTTTAACAGGATTTTAACGCGTCGCTTCGTTAACGCGCTCTTAATTGGCTAATAACGGGCAATTACCGGCTGATAAAGCTTTTAATTAAGGGACAATGCTTTTTGGAACGTGTTTGAACAACTTAATTTCGAATTCCATTAAGGACAAAAGAACTAATGGATTAGTGATTAATGGATACACTAACGAGATGATCTCCATAATTATTAATTATGTCTTTGCGTGTCCAGACGATTTCCGGCGCGCCACAAATTCACCTTCTTAATATAGATCCTCGATCGACGTGGGCGTGTGAACGTATACGAGATTTAACTCTCCAGATGATTCATTCCTTTGTCAACCTTCTTTGTTTCGTACATCGAGAGTTGCGTGTGTATGCGCCGAAAAAATTGATAAATAATAGAAACTATCGTCTTTTCTTTAATTGATTTTAAGTATATTAATGCTAATATTCTTGCCTGATTTTTTCTCTCAACGTCGCAGAAGTCGGTTTGAAAATTACAATATTAAAATTTCGCTTAAGTTATGCAATTAATTGGCATCGCTCAACGTGTCATCGAAAATTTTTGGTCATCATATCATTATCGTTCGCACGTAATGCAATATACCTCGATTCTCGAACGATTCGATCAGTGGTTATTTACGCGTCGTGACTACGTTTAAGTTAGTCATCGAGAAATATGCGGAATCCTGTTCGCTGATTAGAAAACAATGGAGGAGACTGGCGAAAGAATGCGAAGATCCCTTCGCCTATCTCGCACGTGTTGCATCGTTGTTATGCATCGAGCATTCCTTGCTAATCAATATTTTCAATTCCTCCAAGGAGGACGGTCTGACGGAACTCGTCTCGAGACTGTAAGTTTAGTAATTTTTTTTAACAATACTCACAAGAAGCATATAATTTTCAAAGAGAAAAATGTGTCCCTTTCTATTTTACGCGAGATATATTTTTAGCAAGGAAAAACTAATTTTTCTAAATTAGCCAAAGAAAATCGGTGATTAGAAAAAGCAATAATTCTAGAAATTAAACTGCGCGTGTAATTTTAGAACATTGACGAATATTTTTCAACAATTTTTTTCTACCAGATTTCTTAAAGGCCTTGAAATCTTGAAATTTATTCAATTTCGTCTCATCGTTCATGATAAAAATATCCTCGAGCTTAAATTAAAAAAAAAAAAAGAAATAGAAAAGTAAAACGTGAAATGTATATGTGTTGAAGTATCATAAGAGTTTTTAAAAATATGAGAGAGAACTATTTTTATTTGTTTCTTCTAGACTGACGAAACAAATAGAAGTGACATGTCATCGTTTTTCAAGACGAGATTTTCGTTGGCTTTTGTAATGAAATATAGGTAACGATATCTTGATATTTTAATATTTTATCATTTTTATCATTTTCAAATTTATCCTCTACAGATCTTTCCTCATTTTGCTTTTTATTCTGATAATCGTTTTCAACAGCGAGATTAATTTTGCCGGAAAGAGAACAAAAGAACGCTATTCTCATTAAATTACATCACTTTACGTAAACAAGACGTAAATACGTAAGCACGTGTACATGAGACAGTGTATATAAATGTCACGTTATTAATGTAAATGAGAAATTTTGCTGTTGATTGCGAGATGTCCGTCGAAAGTTTCTATCG